CCCCCCCGGGTGAGTACCTAACCACCGGGCTAACGGCAGCTCCCGCCCCCCCAACCCCCCTGGCGAGTACCTAACCACCAGTCTAAAGGCAGCTCCCACCCCATGGCGAGTGTGACGCTCTGTACCTCAGGGGAACACCCTACACCCCCATGATCATCTTTATAAAATCATTGTGTGAGATCCAATGCAAAGTCTGGCATGTTGGGTGTCTTCGGAAGGCTCATAATAAACTGAGCATTGTTGTTACAGTGATGTTATAGTGAGGGTATCGGTTATCATGTCACGTATATAGTTATGAAGCTGAAAATGTGTCTTCATGGCTTAAAGCAAGCCCAGGCAAAACTCTCCAGAAGCAGAGGGGCAGTTCACACCTCATCAGGGCATGGTTGGGACAAACCCAGCCCAGCCTCACAGGAACAATGGACACTGGCTTAGGCAGCAACAAAAGAATCTGTTCGACCAGGGGTGGCTCCGGAGCCCCATGCGGCTCTTCAGGGGTTAATATGTGGCTCCTTACCTAGACACCGACTCCGGGGCTGAAGCTATAGATGCTAACTTTCCAGTGTGCCGGGGGGTGCTCACTGCTCAACCCCTTGCTCGCCCCAAGCCCTGCCCCCGCTCCACCCCTTCCCCTGAGCCTGCCATGCCCTCACTCCTCCCCACTCCCCCCGATAGCCTCCTGCGCACATGAAACAGCTGATTGCAGTGGGCGGGGGGAAAGGGGGAGTAGGCGCTGGTTGGTGGGGGCTGCCAGCAGGTGGGAGGCGCTGGGAGCTGGGGGGGAGCTGATGGGAGGCTGCTGATATATTACTGTGGCTCTTTGGCAATGTACATTGGTAAATTCTGGCTCCTTCTCAGGCTCAGGTTGGCCACCCCTGTGCTAGACCCTCGAGGGAGTCACCCCCTTTCCTTTGGGCAGTTTGGGACTGCAAGGAGGTGATGCTCACCTGACTCTGAAGGGGGGAACAAAGCCAGGAGGAAAGAAAGGACATGTTAAAAAGGAGATGTTTGCCATGCTCTCTCTCTCTCTTCCACCTACATCTATAGACACCACCACACCAAGCGACTGAAGCGCTGATCAAAGGGGAGAGCCTGGTTGAAGGACAACCAGCCAGCCTGTGGTGAGAAGCATCTAAGTTTTTAAGGACATTGAAAGTGTTAAGATCAGCTTAGAATGTGTTTTGCTTTGATTTCATTTGACCAAATCTGACTCGTTGTGCTTTGATTTATAATCTCTTAAATCTACCTTTATAGTTAATAAATCTGTTTGTTCTGCCTGAAGCAGTGTGTTTGTCTTGAAGCGTGACAGAGACTCTCCTTGGGATAACAAGCCTGATACATATCAATTTCATTGTTAAATTGACAAATTTATATAAGCTTGCAGCGTCCAGCGGGCATAACTGGACACTGCAAGATGGAGGTTCCTAGGGTTGAGTCTGGGACTGGAGATATTGGCTGGTGTCATTCAGTTGCACAATCTAAGGAGCAGCTTACGTGCCAGAGGCTGTGCCGAGCGGGGTTTCCTGAACCAGTGGTGCCTACATCTGGGACTTACGCACCTGCGTCCCTTCAATATCTAAACCTTGCTCCCAGTTTCTCTGTGCCTCAGTTCCCCTTTGGTACGAGGATCACAGCACATCAAGGGGGGTGGGAGGTGAATCCCTCAAAGGCTGCGAGGGGTTCAGATACTGTGGGGGCTGAGGCCAGGAAGTGCCACACACGGATGGATTTCCACCATGGGGAGATTTTGCTGCATCCAGGCAGATGCATTGGCCTGTTTGCTGGAGCATGTAATAAGCAGAGAGTGCGCACAAGACCTGTGCCCCACGGAAATCCCACGGGAGCGGCTGTGAACGCTGCACATGCCGGCGAGCACCGGTCACTCGAGTGGGTGTGATGGCCACCGTCTGGGCAGCGCCCAGGGCTGAACTGGGACCCGGCTGAGCTAAAAGCACGAGCAGCAATAGACTCCTCTCCGCGGTGGCTCAGGAACAGCCGGGACAGGGCACCACGAACTCGCCAGTGCAGTGCCCTGCAGTGAGTGCCACTGGGACACGGGTCTCAAAATCCTGATTTAACAAAAGGTGTGTGTGTGGGGGGGGAGGGAATTCACAATTTCCCCCACCACAATATTTCCCAACGTTCAACTCAGCTCTAAACGCTGGGGGTGGGGGATGGGCAGAGGTAGCTGCATTTTCAGTGCTAAGCAGCCTGCACTCCAGCTAGCACCAGGGGGACTCAGCACCGGGCCCTGCAGGGTTCAGGAAGGTGCTAAGCATCATCAGGTGGGGGTGGGAGGGTTTGTGCTGGGAGGGGCAGGAAGCCCAGAGCACACGCCCTACCCCCACCTGCCCTGGGGGGTGCTTTGTGGCACTATCGCCCCCCCACTTCAGGTACAGAGATGGAAACATTTTGGAGAGGGTTGGGGGCCCCGTGAGGGAAAATCCCATCCTGGGAGGGTCATAGCGTAAGTGAAGTTTCCAGCCAGGGGAAGTTTAACTAGCTATAGACTGAGCGTGTGTTAGTGGATGCTAGTGTCAGAGGGAATGCGTGCTAATGAGAGCAGGTGTGTGTGTTAGTGTGTGTGCATGCACGAATGTGTGTGCATGTGCTAGTGTCAGCAGGTGTGTCCACACTAGTGTCAGCAGCTGTGTGTGAGTGCACTAGTAGCAGCGGGGGTGTATGAGTGCACACTAGTGTCAACAGGTGTGTGCGTTAGTGTGTGCACTAGTGTCCGCAGGTGTGTGTGAGTGCACTAATATCAGGTGTTTGTGAGAGCACACTAGTGTCAACAGGTGTGTGCATTAGTGTGTGCGCACTAGTGTCAGCAGGTGTGTGTGTGAGTGTGAGTGCACACTAGTGTCAGCAGGTGTGTGTGTGTGAGTGCACACTAGTGTTAGCAGGTGTGTGTGTATGATTATTATTATTTGTATGACAGTAGCACCCACTGGCCAGCCGAGGCTGGGCCCATTGTGCCAAGCGGCACGCAGCCAGAGTACTAGATGGGCCTTGCCATGGAGCGCTTCTAGCCGGCCTAGCCCAGCCCGACCCCGGGGAAGGGTGGAACAGAGGCGCAGCGTGAGGGGTGCAACCCTCACTTGGTGCCAGGGTGTGTTAGTTTAATCCTTTGAGTGGGGTTTAGTGCTGGGGGGGCGGAATTGGCTAACTAGGGAGACCGGGGGGGGGGAGCAGGGCCACAGAAGGCGATTGGGATGGGGGGGTGGTCAGGGCAGGGGAGAGGAGGGAGGGAAGGTAGGCAGAGAGCATGCGGGAGCGGGGTGGGGGGGAAGTGGGCGGGAGGGGTCAGAGCAAGCAGCCAGTCAGCACAGAGGCAATGGCCAGTCAAAGCCACCTGATGCCCGGTCATACCCCGTGTGTGGGCGGCTCCCGGCTGCAGAACCAGCTTCCAGTGCGGGTGGGGACAGGGTGCAGTGTGAACACGGCCTGTGCACTCCCTGGGAGTTCCGTCTTCCCCAGCTCCCATGGCTCAGGGGACAGGGTGCACTGTGAACACGGCCATGGTTTCAATGTGAGAGTGTTTGCCCAGGCACACGTGTGTAGGACCATGCATGTGTGAGCATGTATATGTACATACCATGCATGTTTACGAACATAAGAATGGCCATACTGGGTCAGACCAAAGGGCCATCTTTGCAAGTGTCCACATGTACATGTGGTGCGTGCATATATGGGTGTATGTGCCTGTTCCTGTGTGTTTGCATACATACTGGGCTGCATTAGTAGGAGCATTGCCAGCAGATCGAGGGAAGTGGTGAGGCCTCACCTGGAGTATTGCGTCCAGTTTTGGACCCCCACTACAGAAAAGATGTGGACAAATTGGAGAGAGTCCAGCGGAGGGCAACGAAAATGATCAGGGGGCTGGGGCACATGACTTATGAGGAGAGGCTGAGGGAACTGGGATTGTTTAGTCTCCAGAAGAGAAGAATGAGGGGGGATTTGATAGCAGCCTTCAACTACCTGAAGGGGGGTTCCAAAGAGGATGGTGCTCGGCTGTTCTCAGTGGTGGCAGATGACAGAACAAGGAGCAATGGTCTCAAGTCGCAGTGGGGGAGGTCTAGGTTGGATATTAGGAAACACTATTTCTCTAGGAGGGTGGTGAAGCACTGGAATGGGTTACCGAGGGAGGTGGTGGAATCTCCTTAGAGGTTTTTAAGGTCAGGCTTGACAAATCCCTGGCTGAGATGATTTAGTTGGGGTTGGTCCTGCTTTGAGCAGGGGGTTGGACTAGATGACCTCCTGAGGTCTCTTCCAACCCTGATCTTCTATGATTCTATGTACGAGGGTGTATCCGTGTGGCTGGTTGTGTGCTGCTGTGTATGTATGTTAGGTGTAGATATGTGCCCACTGTCTGCACTTGTGTGTGTGTGTGTGGGGGGGGGGGGGGGTGCATCAGCGTCTCGAGCAAAGAAGCCACTTTCCTTGCTGGCTAATCCAAATGACTGTCGCAGCGTGGGCTGGCCTTCGCCCCACCTGCAACTACTTGGCTGCCACCCAGGTGCCAGGTCTGGGGTCAGGTGACACCTATAGGCCAACTGGCAGCTCGGTGAGGGCGAGCCATGCCAAGCTGGAGCTGCTGGCAGCAAGGGGCAGAAGCCCAAAGAGGAACAGGCTGGAGGGAACAGCAGGCAGCAGGGGCTGAGACACTGGCAAGCAGGGGAAGGCTTACTTGACTGACAAGAGTCTGGCTGGAGACCTCCACAAAGGGAAACTGAGGCAAAGACCGGGCCTGACATCCAGTCGGGCACCCCCTATTACAACGATGCCTTTAGTCACGCAGCTGCTGAGCTAGTTTGGCTGAAGCCATGTTGGTGAATTTTGCCGAATCTCAGCTGGTCCTGATGAATAACGCACAGGCCAGGCAGAGGACAGGGGGACTCTGTTTGTTTTGTGCTGCTGCCACATTTTCAGTCACTAAAACATGAGGGAAACACTTGGAAATAAACATCAGTAGGAGCCTCCGGAGAACTGAGTCCAGGTTCCAAGAGCTGGGAAGCAGCACTTCCTCTCCACCCACCATTCTCCCGCCCCAGCCCCAGCGCAGTCCCTGGACCCTGGAGACGTCCTGGCTACGCTGAACGTTTCCCAGCCTGGCAATGGGCCATTTGCGCTGATTGCAGGAGTGTCAAGGGCTCACATGCTCGAGCAGCCGCCACAGGAGGGTGCTGCTGGCTTGGCACAATGGGACACACTCCTCCCGGCCGTCCCTGAGCTGTGGTTTGTGGCTAGTGGACGGGGGGCATATGGCCACCAGATTGTGATCCACGGGGCCGACTGACCAGACTCATCCTGAACGAATCAGAAACCTGGCAGGTCTGGTTCAGAACTGAGCACCCCCTCGGCGTACATGTACCCACGGGGCACACGACGCCAGTCTGTTCCCAGCCTGTATGCGCTCTCGGAGAGCTGTGCTCGTGGCAGGGACATGCTAGGGCTGCCAGGGTAAATACGGGCCCCTTGGAACCAGTCTCTCAGCCTCGTGCAGGAGCAGGGAGTCGGAGCTGTTGCGGCCCTGGGAGCAGGAGCCACCAGGGCTAACTGTCCCCTATGTGCTTCAGCTCCTTCTGCAGCTTCTCGGTGAGCTTCTTGAAGGAAGGCCGCTTCCCCGGCTCTATCTCCCAGCAGCTCTTCATCAGGGTGTAGAGGGAGGGCGGGCATTCCTCAGGGGCCTCCATCCGGTACCCCTTCTCCACCATCTCCGTCACTTCCTTCAGAGTCTTGGGGGGAGAGAGAGAGAGACCTGCTGTGAGATCCCCGGCTCCCTTTCTGCAAAGTAATGCCATGATCCACCCCACCACCACCCGGGCAGTGCTAAATCCTGCCCACCTCTGTCTGCGTGCTCTCACCCACCCTCGAGCCCCCATCTCCCCCGTGACACAGCCACTCCTGCTGCACTGCTGCTCCCCACGGCAGCTCCATGCCCCACGGAACAGCTGCTCTCCATGGCGCTGCTGTGCTCATGCTTCCCCCACATCCAGGCGCTTGGCATTAGAAAGACCTGAGAAATCTGGTTTAACTGGATCCTTGTGCCATCCAGGCCTTAGCCCAGGGGTGGCAGGAGCCAGCCAGCCCCGGCCCAGGGGGAGCACTCACCATCTTAGAGTAGGGCGCCCGGCCGTAGGAGAACAGTTCCCACAGGAGGATCCCATAGCTCCAGACGTCCGACTTGGTTGAGAATTTCTGCAGGGAATGTGAGGAAGGTGACGCTGCAGCAGGCAGCCACAAAGCCGCGCAGGGCTGGTGACCCAGGCCAGGGATGGGGGGCAGGAGCCTGTATCCCACCTGGTGAACGGCCTCGCCCCATTTCTGGGTGCTCCCGGGAGAGTGGCAGGGCCACACACTGGGGGATGGGCCCTTTGCAGAGAATCTCCTTGGCCCTGGCTCTAGTGTAACTGGCTCTGGGTCTGTAACCAGATGTGACACAGCTGGCTCCACACAGGGCTGGTGCAGGGCTAGTCCCCATGGCAGCCCAGTGGGTGTCGCTTTGCCAGAGGCCCAGGCTGGCTCTTGGGTGTCTCCATGGAACTGGTTTGCCAGCTCCGCCTTGCGCCCTGTTCTCTGTGCACTAGCAATCCCAGAATGCATTGCCACGCTGGTGCCACTCTGCACACGTGTCCCTGGGCACTTCGCCCCCTGTTGAGGCACGACGGGACAGCTGCCCGGATTCTCCCAGAATGCACTGAGACGAAGCCGGCAAGGCAGCGTGGGGGATGCTCAGGCACAGGGAGACGCGCGGCTGCACGGGCACCACCCAAGCATCTTGCTGTACCAGGGTCAGACATGGGCGTCACGGCCTGTGACAAATCTCACTTGGGCTTGCCAAGATGATGTGAAGGGCGGGAGCCCTGCGGAAGGCAGGGCTGGGCCGGGTGGCCCTGCCAGTCCCCTCCCCCTCACTCACATTATTTTTCAGGGCCTCCGGAGCCGTCCACTTGACCGGCAGCTTGGTGTCGTCTACGCCTTTCGGGTCCACCTTGGCCAAGCCGAAGTCACTCACTTTGGCCACGTTCTCCTCTGAGATCAGGATGTTGCGGGCAGCAAGGTCCCTGTGCACCAGCTTCTTGGACTCCAGGTAGTCCATGCCCTGGGAGATGTCCCTGCACGGCGTGGGCAGCCAAAACCAAGGGCACCGGGTGCATGGGGGGAGAAGGGATCAGCTCTATTCAGTGCCCATCTCCACACCTAACCGCCACCCCTGAGCCACAGCCATGCACTTAGCCCCTCACTAAAGAGGACGACTCTTTGCTGCAGCCTGCCTGGGGTGTGCCATCCCTTTGCAGCCTGAATAAGAGCATAACCTAACCCCAGCCTCCGACCTGTGCAGGGCCCAGCTCCACCACTGACTCACTGTGTGGCCCTGGGCAAATCACTTTCCCTTTGGGAAGTGGGGACAATGGCTGGGGCCTGCCTCCCTAGGGAAATGTGAAGCGCTTTAGATTCTCTAGGGGACAGAAGGCAAGGAAAGGGGCCACCTGTGATGAGGGTGACCTTAGACAAGGCTTGTCCTGCCTGCAAGGACAGAATTATCCCCTGCTTGGAGCATCCGGGCCACTGGGGGAAAGGTGCAGGACTCACAGGGCGAACTGGATGAGCTGCTTGGGCTGGAGGACGGATCTGCCCCGTGTCCGCAGGAAGTTGACCAGGTTCCCCTGCCGGAGGAGAGAGAAACGCTTCTCAGAACCTATCGCCTCTTGCATTAGCAAGAGGTTCTGTGTGGCCAGCCCCGGTGACAGGAGCCCTCTGGCCCGCCAGCCGGGCTAGCGCCGCCCCCCAGCCATGCCTCCTCCCTGAACTTACTGCCCCACCTGCAGGATGAGCTGGAAGAACGGTCTCCACGGCCCAGTCAGTCCCTGGCCTCTCTGCGGGGGTTGGGTTTGCAACGGGGCCTATTCCCCGCGAACCGCCCTAGGACCCACCATCTTCCCGGAGAGGAAGGGTTTCCAGTCCCTGCGGAACCAGGCCGGATCTGACCCTGCGGCCTAGCCGTGAACCGCTCTCCAGGCCAGGCGCCAGCCCCTGCGTGCCCGGGGGAGAGGGGTGCTGGAGAGGCGTCTCTGGGGCAAAGGGCCGGTCGGGGACCCTGGTTTGCTCTGATGCAGCAGGGCAGGCTGGGCCCACGACGGTCTCACCTTGCTCATGTACTCCATGACGATATAGAGGCCGTTGTGCAGGATCACACCCAGCAGCCGCACCAGGTTTTTGTGACGGACCTTCCTGGAGGAGGGAACGGCCGCGTCAAGGAAATGCCCGTCCAGTGCCGGGCCGGGGGGAGGGCTCTAACTACATGTGGTACGCACACTGAGAGAGCCCCTGGTTGTGAGGGAGGGGGACACAAGGAACCCCCCCCCACACACACACACACAGCCCCTGGCCTGCAAGGGAGGGGGGCATGGGGAATACACAAACACACACCCAGCCCCTGTCCTGTGAGGGAGAGGGACACAGGGAATTGGGCTGCGAGGGAGGGGGCACAGGGAATACACACACACACATGCAATCACAATCACGCACATACACCCAGCCCCTGGCCTGCAAGGGAGGGGGGCATGGGGAATACACAAAGACACCCAGCCCCTGTCCTATGAGGGAGAGAGACACAGGGAACCCCCTCCCCCCCACACACACACACACACAGCCCCTGGCCTGCGAGGGAGGGGACACAGGGAACACCTGTAACCCACACACTTCCTGGGTGTGGGGTTCTGTCTCATCTAGTGGCACCGAGACCACTTAGAGAGAGCGAAAATGAGTCTCCCCTACAGCCTTAGCTACCAGCCAGTTGACTCTTAGCTCACGCGGTAGCAGCTCATGCCCTAAGATCCCCGGTTCAATCCTGCCCACCAACAACTAGGGTCTGTCAGCGTTACACACACAAAACAAAAGCTGAGCGGCTAGAGCCTAATTCTGCACTGCAGGGGGAACTCTGCAGCGTGCTCCCCGCCATTCGGGCTGGGGCTCACAGGGCCCTGACTGCAGCCCTTGTTCTTTGTGGGGTGAGTATCCTTCAGACTCAAGGTGTGTCGTTAAAGGGAACCCACACACAGCTGTTAAGTCAGAGGACACCGGGCCCAGCAAACCTCCCAGATGTCTCTTCCTATTTAGGGATAAGCCCAGTTCACCCTGCCCTGCGTACGAAAGGCGACGTGGCATTCCTCGGACTAACCGCTGGACGCAGTCACTCAACACCGGGCCAGCTCTGGGTTCTTACAGGGCCCGGACATTCTGCCAAGCTGTGCACCGTGCAGGGGAGGCCACCCATGGGGAGTTTGGGGGCTGCTAATGCTTGTGGGGGGCCCCCACCTGAGCTAAGCTGCCTGCACTGGGGGTAGCTGAACCCCTTGTCCTAGCCATCAGAGCCCTCCACAATTTACCCCACCCACAAGCTCGCCTGTCTGCTCTGCCAGCAATGGGAGGTGGGCACAGGGCACCATCGCCTGGTTCCCCAGCAAGCACCCTGGTCCTTCCCTCTCACAGGAAAAGCTGCCAGTCAAAACCTGCAAAGCCACCACTTCCCCCTCCTCCAACCCACTCGCTGTGGCCCCTGCAGGCCACTGCTCCGCAGGGGCCGACGTGCGACTGCTGCTCCCACCAGCTCGGCAGGGTGCACATAGCTAATCTGTAGGGAAAGACCCTCTTCGTTCTATTAACCCCCACACACTCCCACACCCCCACATGGAGACCTGTTGGCAGTGCCCCCCGCAGCTCCCTGCTGCTCTCGTCCCCCTGCTAGGGCTTGTCTCTTACACTCGGAGCTCTTCCCACAGTAGGGTTGCCAACTTTCTAATCCCACAAAACCGTATACCCTGCCCCGCCCCTTCTCTGAGGCCCTGCCCATGCCCCGGCCCTACTCTGGGGGCCCGCCCCCCACTCACCCCATTCCCCCTCCCTCCGTCACTCTCTCTTCCCCACCCTCACTCACTTTCACCAGGCTGGGGCAGGGGGTTGGGTTGCGGGAGGGGGTTGCGGGCTCTGGGGTGGGGCCGGGGATGAGGGGCTTGGGGTGCAGGAGGGGGCTCTGGGCTGGGCCAGGGGGTTGGGGTGTGTGGGGGTGAGGGCTCTGGCCGGGAGTGGGGCTGGGAATAAGGGGTTTGGGGTGCAGGAAGTGGCTTCATGCTGGGCCAGGGAGTTGGGGTACGGGGGTGGTGGTGCGGGGTCCCAGAGGCGCTTACCACGGCTCCAAGGAAGCAGCCACCAGGTCCCTGCGGCCTTTAGGCACATGGGCGGGCAGGCGGCGCTGTGCAATGCGCTCTGCCTTCCCAGCCAATGAGAGCTGTGGAGCCGGTACTCGGGGTGGGAGCAGTGGAGCCTCCCTGGCTACCCCAGCACCTAGGGGCCGCAGGGACCTGTCGGCTGCTTCCGAGAGCAGCGTGGAGCCAGGGCAGGTAGGAAGCCTGCCTTAGCCCTGGGCCCCCGCTGTGCTGCTGACCGGACATTCACAGCCCAGTTGGTGGTGCTGACCGGAGCCGTCAGGGTCCCTTTTCGACCAGGCGTTCCAGTCGAAAACCAGACACCTGGGAACCCTGTCCTACAGTCACAGATCTTACGGGCAGAAGAGCACAGGCCCGAGAGCCTCGCCCAGTCAGTCCTGCATCCAGCCCATACCTTGTGGCTGAGCTAGAAAGACACATCCAGCCCTGATTTAAAGACTGCAGGAGATGGAGAGTCTGCCGCATCCTTGGCAAGTTATTCCAATGCTTCGCTAACCCCACTGGCTTACTGCTAGTCTGAATCTGTCTAGCAAGTTTTCTCTTCGGGCAGGGGCTGTCCCTCACTACGTGTTTGTCCAGTGCCCTCACGGGGGGGGCTCTGGCCGGATGGAGGCCACCACAATATAATGTAAAAAGGAGTCAGAATAATAAATGATTAATATTGAAATCACAGTCACTGTAAATTATTAGTAATTATTACTAAGGTTCATTATGAAAACACACAATCTCGCTCACAAACACACACAGCTCCCAGTCTCACAGAGGAACGCCAGCTCTTCACTAGGCATGTTTGCTGATCTAGCTACTCCCTTGTGCTAGCCCAGTGGGGTACGGAGAGGTCTTCCGGGGGGGGTGTCGACTCATCTAGATCAGTGTTTCTCAACCTGGGCATCAGGACCCCTAGGGGGTCGCGGGACAGCTTTAGGGGGGTTGAAAGTGCAGGGCCAGTGTAAGGGTGGGGCCAACAGGGCAGTTGCCTGAGGCCTCACATCACAGGGGGCCCCACAAAACTAAGTCACATGCTTCAGCCCTGGGAGACGGGGCTCGGGCCTCAGGCTCCGGAAAGGGCTACAGTAGTCTGGAAAGGTTGAGAGCCATGGTGCTAGACCAGCAAAGCGCGCCTACACGCTGGCCAAACCGCACTTTCATCAGCGTAGCTTATTCCAGCCCCTTCCCCCCCGCCCCCTGTTAGATAAGCTCTCCTAGTACAGCGGCTTAGCCCCCCGAGCAACACAGCTCTACCAGCACAAGTCTGCATGTCAGCCTGCTCTCCATCTCCCACGCACAGCCCCCAGCAGGATCCCTGCATGCTCGGTCATCCCCTGCAGGCTGCCCGTGCCCCTGCTCCCTGCCCGCGGGGGAATCCGGCAGAGCACCGGGGGGCAGCGCAGGGAGCGCCCGCCCAGCCTCCTGGCTCACTTACGTCATGGCAGCGGTCTCAGCGAGAAAGGCCTGGGCGGTGACGTCGCACTTGATGTTCTTCACGGCCACTTTCTGCCCCATGTAATCTCCCTGCAGGACGGCTGCGGGGTGGGGAGAGAGGGTGGTCAGGTGCCAAGATGGCGGCCCCACCCCGGCGAGGGGGAAACGGAAGCAGGGTCTGGGGCAGGGAGGGCACAGCTCTGAGTAGCCCATCCACATCTGGAGGAGGTGAAGGGAAGGGGGGGGGCGACTCCAAGGGTGAGTCCCACCTGGAGGGGTCCATCATGGGGTGGCTCCTAGGGGCCTGGTATGCACGTCCGCATGATAACTATTCCCCCAGTCCATCCCAGCCACGAGGCCCTCTCTGCTTAGCCTCCCATGGCTCCCACTGGGCATGCCGATGGGAGCAAGGGGGTGTGCCCAGCGCTGCCCGGCTGTACAGAGGGACTCAGCCGCCAGGGCTGCCCACCCAGCCTGCTCCCCAGAGCTCAATCCGTGCACTGGGTGGGCAGGGCCTCATGCCACCTCAGGATCCACCCCCTGCCTGGACCGACCCGAGCACTCACCTCCGAATTCTCCTTCCCCAATCTTGTCTCCCAGTGTGAGGTGCTGCAGTTTCAGTAACCAGCCGGCTGCAGGCGAGAGGAGATTGGCTAGTTACAAGGGGCAGAGCTGGATCTTCCCCCCATGTCAGGCCTAACCCAGCTCGAGGCACCTCCGTGAGTTGAGTGCGAGTTTCACACCCCATAAGCTCCACCCTGGCAATGGGCTTCCTTGGCCGGAGCTCCCAGCTCTGTCACTCGAGAACGTTGGACCCTGGGGATTTTACCTTCCCCCCCAAAGTCCCAGCCACTTGCCCTAGTGTCCCCGTCCCCCTTCACCCCCCACCCCTGCAGTCTGCAGACAGATCCCTCATACCCTTGGCCAGCTCCTCCTCAGCAGACTTCATCCCGGGCTTTGGTTTGGGTTTTACCAGCTTGGTGCAGATGGCTCCCTGGTCCTTCATATAGTGCTGCAGACCAACAGAGAGAGTTACTCAGGCTCACAGCTGCTGCACCCTACAGCACAGCGTTATGTCAGCCCTACCGGGCTGCTCTGGCCCAGGGTGCTTCTGCCACTGAGACCCGCCAGAGAGAGCAGGACTGGCAGCCCAGCGGGTCCCATACCACCCTCCCCACTCTGCAATGGAGCTGGAGCGGCTTACTGTGCCGGAGGTTGGGCTGCTCCCTGCCATTCCCTGCAGGGGGATTTGTTGAGACTCTGTGTTTGTGCGTGCGCACGCGCAGCAGACCCCAGTGACGGTGAAAGGGAGCTGGGATGAGCTCATCACAAAGTGACCAGTAGGGGGCGCTGTACAGCCAGGACAGCTCCTCTCCTAGCCCCGCCCCCACTGGGAATGCGCTGCCACCCGCCCAGCCCAAGTCCCTACCAAGCCCTCTAACCCAGAGCAGGAAGACAAGACTGGCCTGGCCTGGCCAACAGGGCCTTGGCCAAGGCTGCAGGAGACCTGGGTTTGATTCCTGGCTCAGCCACTAGTGCTCTTGGGCAAGTCACTGAATGTGCCCATCTGTCAATGGAGATCTGCCCCCTGCCACCCGGTGGGGCTGGGCATAGGCAAAACGGCTCAGGATTGGCACATGGGACTCCTGAGGGCTATTCCCAGCTCTGTGGCTGATTCACTGTGCAACCAGGAGTAGGCCACTTCTCTGTTTCAGTTTCTCTGCCTGTTAAGTAGGGATAAAAATACATCCCTGCTTTGCAGGGCAGGGCTTATTCCCCAAATGTGGGTGTCAGCAGCCCTGGGCTGGGAGGTGATGCAGAAGGCCTGAGGATGACTGTTAAGAAATAGCAGATTCCACTTCCTTCCGCCGGGTTTCAGCAGCAGCTCTATATTTAGATCGGGCGGTTTTGGCTGACAGCAGCCGCGCAGCTTGGGAACAGAGCACTGAGAAGATAGGGAGGGGCCAGCGGGGCAGTGACCTTCTCCCAGGGGCTGTTGGTCTCAGAGGGGGTGGGGAGGTGGGCGGTTGGCTGGATGCAGTGCAGGAGCAGCTCGCCCACCGCCCCCTCCCCGGGATGGAGCATCTGCTTGTCTAGGTTCTTATGCAGCCCCGGAGCTGAGCCCGGGTGCTGTTGGGCCTGATGCTTTTGCTCTGGTTAGTTTCTTTGCCCAGTGGAGCCCACATTGACCCCAGGGAGCTGTGCCTGCGCCAGTTGCCACGGGGGGCTGGGACCCTGGGTAGGCGTCCCGCTGACCTCGATCATGTCAATGAGGTTGTAGAAGCAGATGGAGGCGTCGATGCTCAGCTGGTTCTCCTGGTAGATGACGCGGTAGTGGATGACCTCCTGGCCGAAGCTGACGCACAGCACGTAGTCCCCGGGGTGCCGGATGGACTCCCGCACCAGGAAGAGCCCGTCCTCAGGGGGCTGGAGCGCCTGCACGGCCTCCACACCAGAGATCTTCCCGTGGAACCAGCTGGGGGACAAGGAGGAGAGGGCGCCTGAGAGGAAACACGCTACATGCGCTAGGGAACCGGCCCCAGCTCCGCACATGAGCAGTACGGCGGAGACCTCCTCATCCCTCCTGAGCTCCCTCCCATCCCGGGGAGTGCGGGGAAGGGGCGGGGGGGTGAGCTGCTCCTGCACTACATCCAGCCAACCGCCCACCTACCCACCCCCTCTGAGTGCCACGCTAGAGACCAACAGCCCCAGGAGAAGGTCACTGCCCAGCTGGCCCCTCTCCCAGCCAAAGCAGGGCTGACCCCTGCTCGCTCCAGTCTGGTGGGGGGGGGGGACACTCCAGGGGAGGCCCACGTAGCCAGACATCCAGCCTGTGGCTAGGGCCAATCCTTGATGCTTTGGGGGAAGGGCAAAAAGCACCCACAATGCACCTGGCCAACCCCATGCAGCTGACTATAGAGCGGGGAATATCCCCTTCCTGACCCCTGCAGTGACCAGCACGCGGCCTGAAGCCTGAGATTCGAGCTACCCCTACATCAGCCAGTAGAGCTGTAAAGTGACCCGGTCTCCCCCCTTACTAGACGTGACCTGAGCCACGGCAAGGCCCACGGCCCGGTGCATGGCGTTAACTCCCAGGTGCTCTGGGTGGCTGTGGGTGCCAGCTGACCCCAGCCAAAAGTGGGAAGGAAATCGGTCTCCTTCATAACGCGAGCACACCCCATGCCACAGTGCTGGCGCTGCCAGCGGGCTCGGCTGTACTCACGGCATCAGGCTGAGCTTGGGGTCGACGCGGATGGCTTCGCGCTCCCGCACCGAGCTGGCCAAGAGCAGCCCCTCCTCGCCGGTGTCGTGGTGTTTCGCTTGGTACCAGCCTTTCTGCTGAAGGGGAACGTGGTGGGATCTCGATGCCATTGGCACTTTGGGGGGAGGGGTCTTACACCCCGGGGGAAGGGGCATCTGGAGACAACTCCACTAGCCCACCTCCAGCTCTCCTCAACCCCCGACTCCCTCCACTGGCGGGTTCTCATTGCTGCTCTGACGGGGGGTGGCAAGGTGGGAAGGGAGCGGTGTGGAGGAGGGGCGAGGTCGGGGGGGGACGGACGGTGGGGTGGTGCCAGGTGGGATCCTGCCGTCCTAGGCTAAATCAGAGTCTGACCCTGCCGGCTCTATACCCATGCTCCATGGCGCGTGTTACAGCAGCTCCTCGGGGCCCATGCGGCTGGGGGCCAGGCTCTGCACACACACAGCTAAGGAAAGGGGGTCCCTGCCCCACAGACCCCCCTAGAGGGAGGCGGGGGGCTTTTGCCCCATTGCCAGGAGAACGTGGGCAAGCAGCCGCTGCCCCTTCTGTGGGTCCCTTCACAGCAGTTTGCCCTCGAGAGCCGCCCCTCCCACAGTGCTCGTGCGCCAGGCTGGAGCCAGCCGGCCTGGCCCTCTGGGCTCGTGTCCCATGTCCTGCGCCCAGCGTTCCCCATATGCCTCCGCGCCGCCCAGCTCACCTCGCAGACCTTGACGATGGTGACGATGTCGCCTTTGCGGAAGGCGAGCTCGCGGGCTTTGGGCTTGGTGTGGTCGTGCTTGGTGATGCACTGCGTTCCCGGCAACCAGCGTTTCTGTGGCAACAGGGGGTGGCATGAGGGCAGCTGGCAACAAGCTAGGGCTCCCCCCTCTTCCCCTGGCAGCTAGACACGAGACTGTCGCCCCTCCAGGTGGGTGTAAGGGGCACGCTCTAGGGGCTGGCTGAACCCCCTGCAGGACTGCAAGGGCGAGACAGGCACCTCCGCGCTGTGACTTTGGGGCACTCCCCACCCGAGCTGCACAGCTGATCAATGGGCCGAGCGGGTATGACACAATGCCAGGTATTGCCGGGCAAACAGGTGCCAACTAGGCAATGGCAGAGGGGCATGCAGGCGCTGTAGGTTAGCTAGGAAGACAAGCAGTGTCATGCCAGATGGGATCAGCTCCCCCAGTGCCAGCTGCTGCAGGAGAAGGGGCGCGTAGCCCCATTAAGGGACAACGGGACAATTATCTGCCCATGGTGGAAGGTTCTTCCTTGCTGGCCCCAGGCAGATAGCGGCTGGTTTATGCCTTGGAGCTCGAGGGAATAGATCAGACCCTGGCACCGGGGGTTCCATAAAGGAGGAGTGGAGGGGCTAGGCCCCCCATGCATTTGGAGATGGTCCCAGGGCACAGCCCAGCCCAAGGGCGGTGAGTGGGTGAAGGAGAGGAGGGAAGACCTGCGAGTGCATGGGGGGAGGGAGTTAGCGGGATTTCACCTTGGGGTGTCACATTCAGTGACCAGTGGTGCCTGCACAATCTGCCCCCCTGTGTGGCTGTGTTCCCCAGGCTGCCCATTTGCATGGGCTCATGCACACTACAGGCACTGGGGTCTGAAAATCCAGCCCTCCAGGAAAGAGAAAGTCAGCCACGCTCCGGGGTTTTTGTGCCGCCAGGGGCCCTGCGAGGGCTGGAGCAGCCTGCACCACTTACTGTTGACATGCTGCCTGGCTCATCAGCGCATCCACAGCTGCTCTGGGGAATCCAGCAGCAATCACCTGGGAGGAGACAGAAATGGCCATTGGTCTCTGGACTGCAGAGAAGGAAGGACCGCAGGGGCCAACCCTGTCTCCACTCTGTTGGGGTTTTCTTGTTCAAAGAGAAACTGTCAAGCAAACATTAGAACAGCTGCTGCGCTCCACCCCAGAAGCAGCTGCCTTTAGTCTGGGGTGAACTGATTCCCACTGTGTCGTGCAGTTGTGAAGAGCTTTGGGATCCTTCGAGGTGTAGACATGGGCGATTACATGTCACTGTTATTATTAGCAAGGCATTTTCCCCTCTCAGCACCACAACTGCCCGTGAGTGTCAGTGTGAAGGGGTGTGTTCACACCTGGCAGGTCTGAGCTGAAGGTGTTTATGGTGACAACCGTGAGCCAGCGTCTGACCCAACACCAAGTGGCCTGGGTAAGGTTGTAGCAAGATGCTGATCTTTGTGACAAATGATCACATGGCCTAACACGAGCCTGGTAAACTGTTCAGCCACCATCACATAAGGTCCTTTCAGACCAAGACGTGGTCCTTCCCACTGACAGCCTCCAAACACATCCCAATCATCCCTTCATTACCTCCAGCCCCTCCCCAATACGGCAGCATCCCGGCTTTGCAGCAGGATTCTCAGGCGCTCGGCTCTGGCCCATCTCTGCTCCCACTGAAGGCGCTGGCCGGCTTCTCCCTGAGGCCAGCTGGGAGCACTTGGGAGAAGCCCCCGCCCCTCCCCCCCGAGCTGTCTTGCCCAAGGCCACCCAGCAAGTCAGTGGCAGAACCAAGACTAGGACCTAGAAGTCCTGACCCCCTGGTCCCTCTGCTGTCCCCACAAGGTCACCTGCTTTCCTAGAGCCCGGACTAGATGTGACGAGCCAGGACTCCCCTGCCCAGCTCTAACCACTAGGTCGTAGAGTTTAAAGGCAGAAGGGACCCCCAGGCCATCCGGCCTGACTTCCTGGAGATCACAGCCTCCCCCCCACACCCCTAGCCCCTGCACACTGATCCAACAACCGAAACGAGACCAAGGTATTACAGCCCACAGGAAACTAGACTGGTCTGTGCCACAGACACAGCACAGGAGGGGCCGAGGGGCCCCAGTGCCCGAGGCCCCCGCAATGGCAGGGAAATGAGTGAGAGAGACCCAGAGAACCCTGACAAGTGACCCGCAGCCCCACGCTGCAGAGGCAGGCGAACCATCCCCCCTCCCCCCCAAGGTGACCGCCAGCCTGACCTGGGGCAAAATTCCTCCCTGACCCACACTGGGCGATGGGTTAGTCCCTGGGCATGGGAGTAAGGGCCAGCCAGCCAAGCACCTAGCTAGAGAGAACATCCAGTGCCACCTCGGAGCCCTGCCCCTCCCCATCCAGTGACCCAGCCCAGCCCTGCCCCTCCCCATTCAGTGCCACCTCAGAGCCCTGCCCCTCCCCATCCAGTGACCCGACCCAGCCCTGGCCCTCCCCGTCCCTTGACCCGGCCCAGCCCTGGCCCTCTTCATCCAGTGACCCGGCCCAGCCCTGGCCATCCCTGAGGCTTCAGAGGAAGGAGATAAAAAACCTCACCAACAGTCCAGCCCTGTATGTGGGTGTATGCGGGGGTGGGGGTCACTGCAGGTGGCCGGCTGAAACCCAGACGCATGAACGTTTAGGAAGTTAGGAAGAAAAACAGAAGTGGCCCCAGAGCTGCTGGGCCCTGCCCCCACCTGGGCTCACACACTCTTTCCCTTTTCTCGTTTCTGGGCGGGTCAGTTCTGTGCATGGGAGGAGGGTGTGGAGCCCCTTGCACATCTCTTACATGTCCCCTTCCCAGCTCAGACCAAGCCGATGAACTTTTCCCTAGAAACCCACCTCCCAGAACAAGCAGGGTTTTTTCCTTTCAAGAAACCTTTTCCTTCTGTAACTGGTCCCAGCCAGGCACTCAGGGCTTCACCGCGAGCTGTCAGCAGTGCAGTCCCCAGGGCCGGCTCCAGGCACCAAGCACCCAGGCTGGTGCTTGGGGCGGCACCTGGAGGGGGGCGGCGGCGCGGCGCTCTGGCCGCGGGGGGGGGAG